TCTTATAAGTTCCCCGAATACTTTCACTTTATTGCTACCTCCATTGCTACCACGAAGGATGGAAGGAGGCTGATGAATCTGGGTGAATTTATTTTCTACCGTGGTTGCGATGAAGGTGTCCACGGATGTCACCCAAGAGGCCCATCGCGCGGCGAAGGAAGAGACGCAGATGCGGCAAAGGACGAGTCGCAGCGCGTGCTGTGCGATATGAGACTTAGTATGGTACACTCTATTTAAAGGCAAAAGTCGGGCTCAATAAGGGGGTATTATGGCGATTGAAACTGAGTATAGAGATGCGAAGTGGAACGACAGTGGAGAAAAAACTGAGAAAAACCGTCGACAAGGCCTAGCAGTGAAGGAGGCTGGCTTGGGGAAAGAGGCACGTACAAACAAGTTTTCTGGAGATGTCAGTCGTTCTATCGGTTGATACGGCAATCAACCTAGCTGATTTCACACGTTATGCCAGCCACGCACCACTTCCGGAGGTGGGCGGTCCTGGATTGAAGGCGGCCGGATTGAAACCGAACGCCCCGGGGCCTTAACGGGTTTTTCAAGGTGGGAAGTTGCTGCAATGTGTGCAGCTACCCACATACAACCTCCAGGCACGGGAATTACTTCTCTAGCGTGTGAGCCCGACCTTTGCCTTTAACCTGACGCCCAAATGCTACAGTATGCGCTGCGACTCGTGCTTTGCCGCGTCTGTTCTCTTCCTTCGACGCACGATGGGCTTATTGGGGGACACCCGGTGTCCACAGTTTTCATGTGTACCAATTCCGTGGCTCGAAAGTGGCCGAGGGCGCCAGAAACCTCCATCACCGGCAGTGTACGCTTTGTCCGCATAGCGTTCTTCCGCAGCTGGTCTCAGCCATCTACTCTAAGGGTCTCGATACGACTCCCTGTATCTGCTAATTATGAATTTACGGTTATTTGTGCATTAATATGTGTTCATAGAAATTTTTGCAATCTTTGCGGCTCTCTCCAAGGCTTAGTCCTGGGGTAAGCAAACCAGCCCTTTGGCGGAGCTGCTGGACCTAGCTGCACCACTTCGTCATCACTCTCCTACCGTACCGACCGAGTTGAAGTAGTCCGTCGACCTCGGGGACCCCATCCCCTCCCCAACATTCAGCATACGGCCCCAGCAGAAACGCCAAAAGGGCTGGTTTGCTTACCTCTCGCAGGAGAATCCGAGACTGCGAAAGATTTCTACTTTCAGAAAACCACCACATTTCGCCCAACTTCTGGGAATATTTCTTCATATGAAAATAGTAAATATTAAACCTCAGTAAATAGTAACATTCATGTGAATGTACACTTCCTTCACAAAATCAAAATGTTTTTGAACCCTGGCTCAGAGCAAAGATGATTAAAATTCTTAAAGGTCAAATTATTCTATGTAAATGATACCAAATTGTCGTGAACATATAATCCCTTAAGAGTCGCCAGCAGTGATTCTTTGTTGCAGACAGATGGTTTGACTCTTTCAGTGTTGATAACTGCCTTCAAGATCTTGCAGATCTCTGATTGTAATGAATCAACGACCTCTTTCAAAAATGCTCTTGTTGTGCTTCTTTTCTAACAGTGAAAGAGTATCTCCTGAGCACTCAAGCCGGTGCTATACAAGTAGGGTGGGCACGCCGCATTTTTGAACAGAAATGTATGTAAGTGGGACTGCTGCCCGCTACTGTCACGAGAATCGGGGAATTCGTGAGCCAGGGGGAGTGTAGCCAATCTAGGGGGTGGGGGGGGGTGAGGGCAGTCACTTGACATGCGTGAAAAGCTGGGCGTGCCCACCCCACTTGTATAGAGCCCTCAAGCCAAGTTTCGAGAGGAAATAACTTTCTGTAGAATTGTTTATGGAAAGCTGCGGACTTTCGAGAACTATTGGGCAGTGCTTCGTAACAGGGGAGGCAAAGCGCGTTTTGCGCTATATTCTGAATTTCGGAACCCAATCTTCATTCTGTGTCACACCAACAGCCCAATCGCCGGCGATTTTGCCCAAGGGGTCCTCAATAAGTTTTTGCGTGGTCGAAAGTAGATATCTTGACCCATAGCCACATCAAACGCAGAATCCTTCTGTGCGATTCCTATTGTGAATATATGGATTTTCTTTAAATTTGTTGATCTATCGACTTTTGAAAGACTGCCTTTTAATGGTGTCTTTCACAAAATCCTGCCTCGCGTCTTTAAATGACGTTTTACTTGTGGCATTTTGTTTTCTTTGCACCCTATTTGTTAGTATTTATTCTAAAGTCCTTCAAAAT